ATATATAAAATTTTGTTTTTTTTTAAATCACCTTTCTTTAAAAAGTCAGATCAGGGACTTCCCTGGCAGTCCAGTGGTTAGGACTCCACGCTCTCACTGCCGAGGGCCAGGGTTCAATTTCAATCCCTGGTGGGGGAGCTAAGATCCCACCACAAACTGTGCGGCGCAGCCAAAAATAAAATAAAATAAAAAGTCAGATTACATCAACCCTCTGATCAAAATTCTACAATAGCTCCCTATTTCCCTCAGAGTAAAAGCAAAAAGTCCTTACAAATGACCTCAGGCCTTCAGTTACCTCTCTGACCTCATTTCCTTTTATTTTTTTGCTGTCCCTTTCCTTCCTATCCCTTTCCTTTCTATTCCTCAAATATTAAAGACATTCTTGCCATGGGTCTGTGTACTAGTTGTTTCCTCTGCCTGGAATATTCTTCCCCCAGATACCTACATGGTTAACTCTCAACTCCCTTAAGTCCTTGCTCAAATATTATCTTCTCAATACAAACTTTCCCTAATCATTACTTTAAAATTAAACACTTCAGGGAGTTCCCCGGTGGTCCAGTGGTTAGGACTTGGTGCTTTCACTGAGGGGACCCAGGTTCAATCTCTGGTCGGGGAACTACGATCCCACAAGCCACACAGCATGGCAAATAAGATAAAATAAAATAAAATCACACACTTCAGATATTCCCAAAGCTCCCTCATTTCCTGTTTTTTTTCCCCTACAATGCTTATCACCTTCTAATAGACTATGCATTTTACTTATTATGTTTACTGTTTATTGTCTGTCTCCCTGCACTAGAATGCATGTTCCATGAGAGCAAGGATTGTTTTCCTTTTTTATTTACTGATATAACTCAAATGCCTACAACAGAACCTGGCCTAGAGTAAAATACCTGGAATATAGCAGGCTCTCAATAAGAATTTTGTGGAATGAATAGCTAAATTTCTGGTATAGTATCTTGGCATGCCTACAAAAACTTGACTAATGCTGCACAGTTGAAAACATTTTTTGTGAAATGAGATACAGGAATATTCAGTAATAAGGGGCTTGAGAAATCTGGCCATGGAAAAGTAGACAGGGACTAGAATGCATCCACAGACCAAGACCAAAGGAATGCCCATTAGCAGACCCCTAGATGTTGAAGCAGCAAACGGGAAAACTATTATTTGCAGTGAGATCATTTTGAGCACACCTTCAGACACTATGGGGTGAGGAGAGATGTAAAATTCCAAGTAAATGACAGGATTATCAACCTAGAAAATAGCTATATAGGAACATTTTTACTAAACTTAGAGAAGGCTGTGAGGTGATAGGAATCTTTTTCATTCATTCTTTCTTTCATACATTCACTATTTTATTCCACATTTACGTTATGCTAGGCACTGAGCTACAAACTAAATATAAAACAAGTGAGATACTGTATGCCCTCAGTGGAGCTTAAAATCTAAAGATACAAAAAAAAGCACTTGTTTGGTAACTCTAAGTAGTTATAGTGTGTAACGCACTGAAGAAGAAAAAAAGACCTCTTTAGATTGGTCAGGGAAGCCCTCTCTGAGGTGATATTTAAGGTAAGACCTAAAGGATGCAAGAGCTCAGCCATGCCACAAGCCAGAAGAGTTCACTACACAGAAGGAATTTCCGTGTAGGG